GTTTCTTGCTCTCCCTGTAGGACGGTGTGTTTGTTGGCGTGGCCTATGACACTTTGATTGGAAGTGTGCATGTGAGTGTGTGTGTGTGTGGGTGAGGGGGTGTGTTGTCAGTTTTAGAATGTGTTTGCCAGAAATTGAATTGTTTCACTGCTTGCAGCTAAGAGATACTGCTATTGTCTAGTGTTTTTTGTAGTTTTAACAGTTCAATATTGAATGACAGAATTTTTAGCTGTGTCTGTCTGTTCATCATTGTTAGCCTATCTCCATGTCAAGTTTCATTGCTTGGGGGCTCCCTGTTTTAATGTGACCTCTTCCAACAGACAAAAATTAGAGAATTAAAAGTTCAGATCAGTTCACATCCAGTGTAAACACTGCTGTATGTAATTCCTTTGGTTAAAATCAGCCCCCATAGTGTCAGTATATTATGTTCTAATGTACGGTATCCAGAGTTTTGAGGGAGTTCCTCAGCCTACTAGTACCCACATGCTGGGAACACAGGCTTTTTTTGGGGGTTGGGGGGTGGGGGTGGGGGTGGGGGGTGGAATAGAGTGGATTTCACAAAAGTTTCTGGATCCAAATTTTGTCACAACGTAAAGACCAAGTCTATTTTAATTCTTGATTGATCTAGTCAATGGTACTAGTCCTCAAAAATAATGACGTAAAAAAACTGGTCAAATTTTTAGATTGGAATTTTATTCTACCTTAAGGTATATGTGGTAGTCCAAAGAATAGAATAGTAGTATTGTGGCTGATTTATAACAAAAGACATGGTTACTTGCAAAAAAAAAAAAACAAAAAAAAAAAAAAAACGGTCATTTGTTTGCCATGATTTTGGCTAGTACAGAATTGTGCACAGAATTAACCAGAAAAATATATTTGTGAATGTCTAATGTAGAAAATTTTCTTTCTGTGGTCCTGCAAGGTACGTATTAGACTACATTGTTTGAGGAAGCTGACAATTTTTAATAACCAAGGTGTGATCATCTCTGCTTGTTGTCTGATAGCAGTCAAGTGGTCAGGTGTTCAGCATGTTAAGACCACTTACAGACTGTTTGAATAATCAAGTGTGTATGTCTAATACTGTGGCAAATACTTGTAGAAATACTCCAGACTGATGAAGAGGATGACTTCTCTGCCTTTTCTGACTCCTTCATAAATCTGTGAAATGGTCAAGTGGGTATGTCCGAGACAATCAGTTTAAGGGAATATCTCAATAAAATAGAAAGTTTGGTGTTTGTTTCTTTGAGTTCTTTGTATGTGGTAAATTTTCCCATCTAAAATAAGTACTGTAAATTGCCAGCGTATATCTGCATATTCTGTGTTATCCCACCATCGATTTCACAATTTCATTCTCAGCAACCAGGGCGATTTTGATAGTGGAAAAGAGTGTTTCAAGGGACCCTAGGCTATGAAACTCGGGGTACTGATACCTGAAGATAACATATATCAGGCCCATAGTCAGCAATTTCAAAAGGGGGAGGGGAAAAAGAGGCTTTTCCTGGAGCTTTGACCATGAAACCTTCATGTACCTAGAGAAAATTTTTCCCAGAACAGCGGATCTTTCCCTGGCAAAAAGGGCAGTCTGATCCAAACCCCCTCCCAGCCAACCCCCAACTGTGCTGGAATAAAAGTAAGGACTGTTAGTAATACCACATTTTACTTGTGCCTGTGAACCTTTTACAAATTATCTGATATCCTGAGTGTTATATTTGAGGACTCCTCCAGAAGGAAGTGCACTGTATCTCTGTTTCCTAGAGTGTGGAATCAGTTACTATGTGATTTACAGTGATGTAATATCAGTAGATATAGTGAGGGAATACACTCAGTTACGGGCTTTAGCATCCTGTGGAAGATGGGCTATGGGTTATATTACCTGGTTTAGCATCCTGGAAGTTTATTAATGTAGAAAAAAGTTACAAAAAAGGATGAAATTAAATTATCTTTTCAGTGAATTTTTTTGGAGGGAGGGGGGGGGGGTATATGATAGAAAGATCTGGTATTTGATAATACTGACTGCATTTTGCTGCCCTCTAAATTCTTCAAATGATGAAAAAGACAAGAAAAAAATTTTAAAGTTTTAAGACTAATTAAATTTGTATGATTTGTTTAAAATAGTTATTGCCCTTTATTTTAATTTTGTGCGTTAAGCTGATGAAAACCTTTGATAGCAGGTCTCAAAGTTGTGGCACAGAGGAAGTTGAAGCTATAAAGGAAAGGAAGTGGGCAGAGCACAGAGATAGAATCGGGGGCCCTAAAAAAATGAACAAATTGTAGGAAACAGGGAGAAACAAAATAGCTGCCAAATTAATGCAAATTTACCAGAAGAGAAGATAAAATGATATGTTTTTTTTATGAATTTGTTAAGGCACAATTGACTCTGGAGCACATTTTTGTGGGATAGTATCAGATGTCAACAAACAACATGGGGAAAAAAACAATCTCGTACAAATACATTAGCAGCCATTAAAGTGAAGGCAGTGAATGTGTATTTTGTCCGCAGGCCTCACCTGATGATTATCTTGAAATCGTATCCTTCGTTTTGCTTGTAATATGTTCTTTATCGTACACAGGGGAGCTTTGTTGGGTGTGCATTTTCTGAAGAGATTAACTAAATCTACAGGCACTAAATGGAGAAAAAAAAAAGAGAAAAAAGGAAAAAAACATAAATGATCTTGTGACAAAGTCCCTTGTTCCCTTCTTCATAAAAGGACTGTGAATATGCAAGTTACAAATTTTTTTAGCCGAAGCATCCAGCATGACGGCTCCTATCATAAATGGAAATGCTTTAAATAATGAAATCAAAAGAAAGAAATGAAAAGAAGAATCCCCCCCCCCCAATTTATTTTTGTGGTAGTCGTGATACTCTAAGTTTTGCTCCAATTTATTAAATTAGCACAAAAATATATCCGTATTGGTTGTCTTGGTGTGCAAACATTCCATCCATTTCTCACCAATTCACAACAAGGTGTGTTCCCTGGTGTTCTTCTGATGAATAAAAATGGGAAAATTCTCCTTTTTTTCCTTGAGAATGTTTGGTTTTGGTCCAAAGTTCCATTTCAGTTCAAAAACGGTTAAATTGATATTTTTTACATAGAGACAAAATTGTAAAATCTCACTGTTGTCTGAGATTAAGGTGTGCATTGCCTTTTTATCCTGCATCTCTCTCTCTCACTCTCTTTCTCTTTCTCTCTCTCTCTTAAAGTGCTAAACTCCATTTTGTTAACAAGGGATATAATGAAAAGAAACAGCGTGTTGAAATCACACTTAATTCAACCAGTCAGTTTTCCCAATTACTGCACATAAGCCTTCACAGTGAATTTTCCACTGTCTTGAACACCAGTCTCCACGCACTAATAATGCCACTAATCCTGTGACATGTCTTATACCCCGTTCACACTACGCTCAGTTATCCGGATAAATTGCGAATTAGGTCACAATTCGAATAAATGCAGTAGTGTGAACGCAAGAGGATTTTTGTAATGCGCATTTTCAAAATCCTGCAAGCGAGGTGGATTTCTAAGCGCGATCCGGATAACTTACCGGAATCGACACCTGTACAGATCTAACTGCGCATGTGTGCAGATAAGTGCGGGTATCTATGAACGCTTGTTTATTACTTTAGCGATTGCACCAAACGTATTTGGAGGTCACCACTCACTACAACATGAGGAAACAAACTTATTTTGCCATCTTATACTTCTCAAGAATGCTGGAATGTCTTTAGAGTTGCATTTGTCGTCACAAATTTTTGTTGGTATTTTAAGATTTCCTGTGCGGCGCATGCGCGAGTGTTCAAAACAGGAAGTTAAACCTGAAATTTTGAATGTGTAATTCGGTTTCGCTTAGCGTGTGTGAACGCAATACCGAATCGAATTCCTCACGAAAAATTCGGATTATAGAAATGCGCATTTTTGCAACTGTAGTGTGAATGGGGTATTAAAGAGCACACCTTTTTCGAAAAGTCGCATTCACACTGTATACCCTAATGCTGCATTTCCATTCAGATTGTGCAGGCACATCTTGGAATCTGCTAGCTTAGTAGACCATGTGATTACTTATTAGATAAGTAACCCTGGTTAATTAGCTTACCAGTATGTAGGTTGGGGGATGGGTGGGGTGGGGGGGGGGGGTATTTAGAACCACCCTAAGGCTTTTGACTTTGAAAATGTCTATTCAGAATCAAAATTTGATCTGGGTTCTATAAACACACAAAGGCTTTGCAGTTAATAAGTCAACTTTTTCAAACTTTTTGAAATAATGGGATACATGGCTGATAAAGGACACTTCACATGTGGAATTGACAATTTCTTATCAACAGTGCATCACTTGATATATTTGACGCATGATGAGTAGGGCGACCTTGGTGATTTCATCAGTATGTGAAGATAATTTGGTTTTTGGGTGTGGCAGCTTGAAAACGGTCACTGCATTGTTTTTGTCAGGTGCCGAGTTAAGGTGCATTTCTAGTCAGTTTAGGACAGCTCAACTTGTTGTTTTTTTGGTAAGACAATTTCATTACATTGTCTGCTATTTGAGTATAATGCACTAAGTAAAGACATCCCAACTTGATTGAAAGTGCAGCCCAAGGGGTATGTAGTACCACTTCGTAATGGGTCTGATGTTTTGGCCATGTTCTACTAAGTGCTAGTGAAGAGGCGGTGATGTGATTCTAGAAGACGTATTTGGTCCCTGCTTGGTCAAGTGGAAGACAGCCATTGTTATGGCTTCTTAACACGATGTCGTTGTTGTAAATCTCCATTAGTCGCCTGCTTTGTCGGCAAGCTTTGTGCTATGGGTTGTCCCAAATGGCTGCCATGGGTTGCATTCTTTTTTTCCTTGACAAATTTTCAATGGTTATTTTTGTGAATGACATGGTCATCTTAATTTTCATTAAGTTGCTATTAAATACCAGATCTAATATTTTGAAATGGTGAATTAATAAATGAATTTGTGTAACTTTTTAAATTAAATTGTTCAATTTTTTCTTTCCTTTATTGCAGGCATTCCCAACTACGAGTTGTACTATGTCCGAGAGGGGATCATCAACACCTATGCACTCTCCTTTAACTTACAGCTACAAAAAGACATTGACACAATTCGCTTCAAGTGGCAAAGCCTCAGAAAGCAGCCTGCAGTGAGTATTTGGGAGGGTGGGGGTTTTTGAAAGGGGTTGAAATGGGGGGGGGGGGAGAAAGCAATATCCTTAAACCTACTACTGCAAGACAACTTTTACAGTAAATAGCAAAGTCTTTTAAAGCAGCATGCAGTATTATTGAGGTGGGTGGGGAGTTTTTAAGGGGGTGAAAGGGGGGGGGGTAATTTTTTTTTCCTCTGATGGTCCAGTTTCCTATTTATACTCAATGCTGTGAGTGGTAGAAATTAGACTCGTGATGAATTACAAATGTTGACTTGAGTAAATTGCTACACAAACTAAAAGATACTAAATCCAGAGCCCGTTTAACCCATCTCCTTTTTACATTCACCTTTTGGTGAGAAAAGTCAAACATGTAATTTGGTTAATGTCAAATACGTAGTCTTCCAAATAGCCTTCCAATAAAAATCTGAAGTGAAGCTGACCGTTTATTCTCCGACTCCCACAGATGTTATATGCCTTCACCTGTCCCCATTCAAAGCTAATCATATCTGACCATAGCTGATTTATTAGGAGGCCTGTGATTGGCTTCTAAAGGTCACAGGGGTCAGGTCAGGTCATGGGGTCAGTGACCTCTGGAGGGGATGGGTAACCAAGCCTGCAGGGCATCAGAAGTTGGAGAGCCATGGTTTGTTTGCTTCTTCAGTGGACCTCAGCCAGAGATGCTGAGAAATGGATGGGAAAAAGTGATCAGAATCCAAACAAACCAAAATTATGGTTTTCTTTTTTGATTATGGGTGGTTGCAATTTAACCATTACCTTTCTCTTGCTGAATGATGTTTTTCTTACATTCACCAAGAAGAGTTTTTCTCAGTATATCTCTGTCTGTCTGTCTGTCTGTCTGAGTGAGGAACCTTCTGCACTTCTTAACCTCACAGATAAAAAATATTCAGTTGATGTTAACTTATCAATATCATCACACATAATTATCTCATACCTATTAAGTAGGTGTTTCCTTGTATTTAATAGTATCTGACGTGACAGCATGGTATGAAGTAGTGATGTTTAATTATGAAGGTATATGTCCTGAGTCACCCCAATTTGCAATATGTCACTTTAGTACGTGTCATTTGGTCCCAGTTATTGAGTACTAGGATACGTCCCACTGATGGAAACATATGGTATATAATTGCTGATAGCACACCTGTGTGATGGACTCAGTTGATAAAGAACCCAAGGCCTTAGCTGGGATGACTTTCTTTTGACTATATCAACTATGGCTGGATGATTTGTGGGGAATCAGAAATATTAAAAACAAACTAATAATTTATTTCCAAATATTGTTAAATGAATATGAAACTTTTTCACCTGAATTAGAAGATATATATTGAGCATTTTGCTAAAAAATACATGTGATAGCCCAACCCCAGCAAATTGGGCATACTAGTAAGTGATAGTTTAAAAGTAACTTAACTGAAAAAATAGAGATAAAATTCTTCAGTCATATTTGCTGCATGCCAAAAAGGTCCTCGCTAAAACCATCTTTTGGGGCGGGATTCCAAAAAGTGGATGTGAGTGTGTCTGAGGAAGACCTGGATAGAAAAAATACTGCAATGATCTTGTCTGCAGAAAGGGAAGTCGATGAAACTGCCGAAGTTAAAAAAAAAAATTGTAGAGCACTGAATGAGAGGCGTGTGATGAGAAGATGGCTAAACAACTACTACTATATAAAATAAACAAATGAAAAGAGAGATAACAAGTAAGTGGGCAAAGGAGTACAAATGTGGCATGTCTCAGCCACCACTGACACCCCTGATTGCAATCGAGATGGTATCTCCATGAGAGAGACAAGAAGAAATAAAACGTGTGATTTTGTACATTCCAAGATAAAGAGAGAAAGTGCAGGTGCATGCAATGTCACCAATCACTGACAAGGGACCCTTGTGACTTTTTTTAGCAGTCAAATAAAACAAAGTTGATGGTGACAGATATATGTATGACAGCCTTGGCAGGTGACACCTGTGATTTGTTTTAAAGATTCCCTTAATGTTGTAGTCTATTTGAATGAAATATTGCACCTGTTAAAGAAAAATAATAGAAATATCTTATGCTTTTGACCAATAATTCCACATCACCTTCTAGTGACTATTGAGTGGACTGCTATGGATTAAGTCTGAACTCAAGTAGACTAAATTTTTTGTCTAAATCTTTGAGCCAAAGTTCCTTTGAAAAATCAACCCACAATGTTACTTAATTTAAATGGACATGTATCTTTAGATTAAGCCTACATTGAAGTGGATAGAAAATACTGGTCTAAAAGTTACGGCAAACTTATCATATGTACCTCATCCATGAAACCAGTCAGACTTGTCTTCTTGATCAAGTTGTGAACGCAGCCTCCAGATATGATCTGAGAGTTAAGTCAGGCATGTCGTGTCATCCAGGTGTGACATCTGGTGACACCTGTGATTACGTGGAAGATTTGACTTCAAAGGAATGACAGGATGTGAGGAATTTTTTTTTTTTTTTTTTTTTTTTTTTTTTTAAGATCAACTCTTACTTTCAAGTTGTTGTTTTTCTCCTTTGAGGGAGGCTAATAAGAGACTGAGTCAAAAGCTTCATGTGTTAAATCATGAAATATCATACACAGTGCCAAATAAATAAAAAAGTATGTGAGAAATGATAATTTAAGGAAGGCAGTGTATATATACTTTATTTTAAATTCTCATAAAGAGGCACCCCATTCCTGTATGCTCAGTATAAATTGTGGTAGACAGTGAGTTCTTTAATAAAAAGCCACTGTTGAAAAATTAATTCTAATTCATTACCTACACTATTATTTCATTGTTCCCAAACAGGAGTCCTCATAAAACTCACATAAAAAATGTGCCAGATTGGAGTTGAGAGATAATTTAATGACAGCGGTTGACATTTATTACCATGAGGTGTTGATATATTTGCTTGTTAACCACCCAACAACAGTAACGTGTGGTTTGAAATGGCACATTTGCTCAGTTTATCGGAAGAGATTGAGTTGTGAGCTTTTCCCTTTTGTCAATCTCACACCATTTTAGTACTCCCATTATTTTTCCCACAACTATCCCAGCATCAAGTACTTTCCCCAAACAAAGCCTGTGATGGACTTGTTTTTTTATTCTAACCAGAACTGCCAGGTTGAACCAAGAATGGGCCATGCTCTCCATTGCTGCGTATCCTGTTAGTATTTGTCACAGCTCATCAATGTTAGAAAGCTTTTCACCTTTCCCTTCACAGCTGGACCGTAACCCTGGCCTGTATTAGATCTGAATTCTTGTAGAAATGGACTGAAACATTTCATCTTAGCTGGATGAACAAAGTATGTGATTGCTGGTCACACCTGGCAGCATAGAAAATACATGTTAATTAATTTATGCAAAATTGAAATTGACATTTTCAAAAGTAGAATATTTATGTGAGTTTTTTAGTTTTTGTAGAAAGACAATTGATCACCTATGCTAGCACTGATGATTCTCTTGTACAGTTTCTATATATATATATATGATGAAGCTTGTAAAGAGGCTATGGAACCAGCAATACTGAACATTACAAATTACCCTGTGTATAGTTTTTGTGTAATTAAGCCTGTAGAAGAGGCTATAAAGCAAGTCCCATATCATTGGTGTACCTTTTTAACTGTATGGACTTGTACCAGATAATTTGAAGGGAATCTTGGCTATCAGTTCCATATATTTAACTATGATTAAGCCTGTAAGAGAGGCTTTAAGCCTATAGCCAGCAGTACTGGAGTAACTCCCACTGCAGACAAGAACCATAGAGGGGGAATTTCTGCTATCAGTTTCATGGCTAATTGACCCTAATGGACATAAAAGCTTTGGTAAATTTCTCCAAATTTCGCGCTGCACTCCAGGTATTCAAGCCAGATAGAAATTCCAGCGCGTACAACAACAAATACAACTGGGACTGAAATCATTTTGACAGAATTCTGGCAGAGCAGTTTGCTTGCAGTTTATTTTTGCAGTGTTTTTTCTCTGGGCAGCAGGTGACTTTGGATAGGGAACAAGTGTTGTGTGAAAAAGTGGTGGCAAAGTACTTGTGCAAAGAGTACTAGAAACTTGAAACATGCTCACAGAGTTGCGCGTTACATCTTTCTAGAAAAGCATGCTCTGGTAGACTGGAGGCTGCTTTGTGTGGAACAGCAGGTGATATTGTGAACAAGTCTTTTGTGAAAAAAGAAAAAAAAATGCTGATGATTCATCAAGCCTTTTTTTCCAGTATCAGCCACCTTTATTTTCAAATAGGCAGTCGTGTTGAATATTGCTTGGAGGTTATATTTCCTAGAGGCAAAATGTGCTATTTTAGTAGGAAAATAATAATGGACTAATGTTATCTTTCTAGTAATTCTTGTAAATTTCTCTTTTTTTGTCGCCAAGCATCAGACTGAAGTCATTCCACAAAGCATTACCAGCTGATTGTTCTTGCATGTCTCTACAAGAATTGGAAACAAAATATATACAGTTGCCCTGCAGTCATATTAAAGATTCTCAGAATCAATTTCTGATCTTTCCACAAATTTGTCTCGAGTCTCTGCACAATCCCCCAGGGCCTCTTAGAAATCCCTCGTTAGTGTTCAGAGCATGATCTCCCAGAAAATAGAAATTTGATTTAATTCCTCGGAAAATAAGAAGACAATGGTGACCATGTCATCAGCAGCTGTTCCTCATATCTAATTGAAAGTGAACTCTAAATATTTGCCATATATTGTTTTGACCTAACACTATTAGTGACTTATGAAAACCTAACATTTGCTGGCATTTTCAAATATTTTAACTTAATAAATGTCTGATGAGTATGTTTCATCGTAATGGGCTCAGTGGACTATGAAACCCATATAGTTGCAAATGTCCCAATTCGTCTTGACCTAATGACATTACTGAGCTCTGTGGTTTTGGAGCGGCAAATTAGATAAGAAGATTCATCAAGATGCTTTGTTGCTGAAAATGGAAATGAGTCTCGAATTATTCTAAATGATATAATATTGTGATTTGAAATCGGATTTACAGAGGTTTCAATGAACAGTTCTTATGAGAAAGCTCCTTTCATTGTTTATTTATATTTCTGCTTTTGAGTAATACGCTACTTAAAGTTGATAATACATTTGCTATTACAGACTGATTTTAGTTTATATATATATATATATATATATATATATATATATTTATTTATTTATTTATTTATTTATTAATTTATTTATTTGCATTATTTATCAATACAAAATTGAAATGGTTCTCCCTCATATATAAACTGATATAGGTCAGAATCACCTGATTATACATGAATACAATTTGAATTTTCTGTCACGCCTGTAGAATTACAAAGACTTCCAGTTGTGAAAAGCAAGGTTTTTACTCCTCGTTGCTGAAGGAAAGGACCTGTTTTCTCTCTCTCCTACAGCTCTTGAACACCAGCTGCAAACATTGAACTGATGAGATCAAATTTTGTTATTATTCAAGTGTCAAGATAGATTTCTGTGTGCTCAAACTCGAGGAAATGTGCTGTTATTTCTATCAACATATTCGCTGTGGTGTGAAATCTTAACTGTCAGTTGTCAGTCTGGGTTTTGTTATAAAAAAAGAACCCATGCAAAAAGTAAGATATTAAGCAGATTTTTTTTAGAAAGCTGAAATGCTAATTCCGGTTAATGAAATGGTTAAGCGTACTACAACTGTCATTGCGAATTATTCAGTTTGATGTCTTTATTGATTTGTCTACAGAAATTAATGAAGATATTCATCTAATTTTCTCAATTCTTTAACTGGATGTCATTCTATCCAGTTAATTTTTTATACCATCTAATTGATAGTGAGGTCCAGTCTGTTGAAATTCTCAGAGTTATGAATCTTTTAGCTGGTAATTAATCATTCTTGATGGAGAGAAATTAAAACATCTTTTGTTCAGAGTTGTTTTTTAAGGTAATCTGATCTTGCATTAAAATGTCACAGTGGCAGTTTTTCATAGTGTATGGCCTCAAGACAAAGAGAGAGTGTAGAAATGTGTAAGCACACATCAGGTGACCAAATATGCTCACTGGTGCATGCAACGAGAGTCATGTATGCACTACTGCACATTGAGAGAGAGAGAGAGAGAGAGAGAGAGAGAGAGAGAGAGAGAGAGAGACTATTTTAATAAGAATACTTAATTTCCTCAAAAATTAATGTAGCTGTAACTTGTAACCATTCATTACACTAGGGGTAAACCAATATTTTAGCCAGTCAATTTCTATGAATACAACCAACATGAGATAACAACATAGATATTGTTAACACTCCAGAAATTATTGATTCTGGCTTGATTCAAGTTCCTTCCTCTTTTTGTCTCGCTTCAATGAGACTGGAGTGGGCGATTACTTGTATTAGCTGCCAGGGAAATTTATATGATTGTCTTGACAATATTGACATTATAAAGTTACGTGAGTTCATATCACTAATAATCAGCCCAGGGGAGCTTGGTTGTGGAATGAAAACCTGTGGTTAAAATATCCAAACACATTTTGTTGAAGTAGGTGATGTTGTGTTGCGAGGAGCAAAAAATTCTCTGCGGTGTGTGTTGTCCCTTATGAACCTTCCTGCCATTTCTCATGGCTGTGATTCACTGCCAGGTGTTCTCCTGCTGTCTTGTCCTGGTGTTTTTCAGGTGTCCTATAGTAATTAGTAAGATTGATGTTATTTTGAGAAACAAACATGCAGGTTGACTGCAAAATTTATGTGGAGCTTGTTTCCATAATTTATCCCCACTGGATACCGACAGTTTTTTTTTTTTTTTTTTTTTCTACTATTTTATTGCTTGTTAATCTTGTCACATATTTATGTCCACATACCTTGTCATTGAACCAACTGTGGCACTTACACCAAAGAGCTTGTCCAAGGTTGATTATATAACATGTTTTTTTCTTTCTTTCTAGATGTTCTACAGTCTGTCCATCATTGTGTCCAACCCCAGAGCAATGAGGCTTCCAGAGACCAAGAATATCTCCAGGGAAGGCGGAGAGGTGCCAACATCTCTCACACGTGAGTTTTCCTCTCAGGTTTCTGTCTGTTTCTGTTTTTATAATATTGTGAATCTGGTGAATATAAGGTTTAGCATCCAATATGATGTGTGGTGTTCAGATTTTAGTGCTTTGTTTTTGGCATTGTTCCTTCATATTCATATTCAGCTAGTAAGTTTTGATATTTACACACTCTCTCTCTCTCTCTCTCTCTCTCTCTCTCTCTCTCTCTCACACACACACACACACACACACACACACACAGCAATTCAGTACTTAAGGGAGGTTTAAAGAGGTTATCACAACAAGCAGGTGAAATCTTATTGATTTTGTCATTAGCATCAGTTGGAAGGTGTTCAAGGCAGTGAAAGAGCAGGCAATTAACACTGACGTTGAAGGTAGTTGTCTGAAATCTGAAAACTATATGAAAGGGAAAACTGCATGGATTCAAAACCTAAAAAATAACTGTCTTTTGACCATGATTTTGAATGATATAAATGAACTTTGAGTGCTTTGTTGAGGTGACAATGAAATACCTGTTATAAAAACAACAACCGAGATTCAAGATTGGAAATAAATAAATAAATAAATAAATAAATAATTAAATAGCTTGAATATAAAAAAAGTTTTGTACTGCCATATAAAAATATATACTAGTATGTAAAGTGTTGAACCTTGATGTTGATTAATATGTATCTTCATCCTCGTCAGCTGCAGTGATGAATGCTGGACCTCTTGACCTTTTAATTGCCAAGGATGCAAAACGGACTTGAAAAACATTAGAAAATGTCTGAAATATTTCTGGACATGAATCAATTTGTATCCTATCACAGCTGTTATGACAGGTTTTGACCACTTGATCTTTCACAGTTCATGCACACGACACAAAGATTGCTAGAAATGTTGAAAAAAATGGTAGATGTGAATCCCTTCTGTGATTTTTATGACAGATCTTGTCCATTTGACCGTCTGTACTGCTTCAATACCATTAAAATGTACTATAGAGAGTGTGGAAAGATTTGTAGTAGGTTTACCTGGAGACGATGCTTTAGTCAAATCTAAAACAATTCCATTGTACAACTGTCTCACCTAATACATTGCTCACTGTACAAATGTCACACCCAACACAATTTTAGCCATGTCACTGTCTCACCTAACGCAATGCCCATGGTACAACTGTCACACCAAACCCAGTGTCTGTTGTATGGCTGTCACACCCAGTGCAATGTACAACTGTCACACCCAACACAGCATTCATTGTGCAACTGTCACACCCAACACAATTTTGGTTAAGTCACTTTCTCACCTAACACACTATGTTTTCCCTCCAATTCCAGCTTTTGCCATCACATTACCCTGCAGTGGCAGTATGTCCGTGGAGGTGGACGTCAAAATTCAGATGAATGTCAGCATTTTCTCCGCCTCCAACCTGACCACCATAGAAATCAAGAGGAAGAAGACATGTCTTAAGAGAGGTAAGGAAGGCAGAGAAAAATGGGGAATAGAATAAAATTTTTATAGAACTTCATACAAGTAGTGGGCAATGAGTAGGAGATGAAATGTTTTGAGTTCAGAGTGGATGGCTGAAAAGCAAAGAAGTGAAAAAGTCGGATGATTATGGAGATGACGAAAAGACTAGTGACAAACTTTAACGTAGATGTTGATTATGAAAAAGCTTATAGAGAAAATGGCATAAAAATGCAAATATATTCCTTTATGTGTCCTCCTCTATGTTATGTCCATCTGTCTAACATCTCTCACTCCATTAATGTCAGATCAAGTACACATTGATTATTTCTATACAGTCTCAATTACCTCCTGACTTTGAGACCAAGCACCTGTTCCACACAAATGGAACTTCCAGGTGTATTTTGCCCATCACTCCTCACATGATCTTTACACTGTGCCTGGTGAGCCAGTGGAGAATGCTGTGGTGTTCTTGTATTTCAAAGAAAATCACATTTGTTTATAAACCTTGTTATCACGGGTGATGGAGACAAGGCTAAACTAGTGAGGGGATTCCGTGGCCTCAGTAAAATGCCTTGTAGCAATGTTTTCTACTGTAACAGATGGGTTATGTCATTGTGGAGAAAATGAATTGGGTGTTTTAACAGCAGAATTTTATTCTTGCATTTGACGAAATTTACGGTAGTTGTTTAGTAAAGGATGGAAAGAAAGGAGGAGGAGGGGCAACATGTGGAAGTTGCAATAATAGAATTGTTCTACGCTGTATGCAAAAGTTCATTTTAACCCATTTGGAAATGTGAAAGAAATTGCTCATTGAAAATTTGTTGTTGATTTAGCTCGTAAAATATAGTTAACTAAAATTGATGCTTATTGGACTTTTTCATTAAACAAACCTGATTATTCCTGTCCACACTTCTTCTGTTGTATCAAATCTAGGATGACTGCATTTATGTTAGATCCATAAAAAGTCTTTGATTCTGGACTTTTAATGTTTAGCTAATGTGAAGCTGGTTTATATGGTGTGTGTGGCTTTCCGATGGGTCTGATGTCAAGTATATTTGTTTATGTGTTGATTGAAATGCAGCACACATTAGATCAATTTATATACAGATTTATTATTTATTTATTCCTTTCTGCACAGGTACCTTTTAAATGCCTTTGAACCTAACAAATGCCACACCCACACACACACACACACATACACACACATACACACAAGAGAGAGAGAGAGAGGGGGGGAGGGAGGGAGGGGGGAGAGAGAAAGAGAGAGAGTTATATGATTATAATAAGTTATCAAAATTCTGTAAGCTTTCTTCTGCAACTTTTGTTCAAACTGACATCCTTTATTCAGAGTTTTAGAAAGTTTAACATAGCTGTGTTTATACATGAATACATGGTTTAGCTTCAGTCTATCAGAAATCCTGTATACTGTTATATATTTCAGATCACCTGGTGCTGGACCCTGGTGGTGGGGACAGAGGTCGCTCACCTGAACACCATGCCAATTACACCATTCTTCATTCAGGTAGGTTACTATATATATAAATATATATATATATATGCCTTCTGGAGTTTAGACAGGGTTTTGAAATAGAGAGTCCATATGAATTTTCTCTTGCTGAGACAGGCCAGATTCCATGTGTGCTTATAATAGAAACCAGAAGAATGGCCGGCTAAAATTGAAACAGACTGTCCAATAACTGCTGGACAGTTTCTCAGTTGATGCCCTGCTGCTTATACTTGCATGCATGCACACCCCCACATGTACTCAATTTCTCTCTCTCTCTCTCTCTCTCTCTCTCTCTCTCTCTCTCTCTCTCTCTCTCTCTCTCTCTCTCTCTCTCACACACTCATCAAAAATTTTAGCATTGAATTATAAATTAATCTATCCACACAACTGGTTATTTTGGTCTTCCTGAGCTATCAAAGCTATACTAAGATTGGTATCAGTTTATAGTATACGTTGTTTTATACTCTGCATACATATTTTACAGACACTGGAAAGAAGAGTGTTCCTCCAGCTTCCACCAATGTGTTTTATATCGCTGTAGGAGTGGCCTGTACTGTTATACTTATTATTGCCTTAGTGGTGGCAGTGGTCTACTTACGGACACAGAAGTCGACCAATCACACAGCCATGAGGTAGGTGTTCTGTGTTCTTTATTGTTTGGAATTGCATGTACCTACGGACACAGAAGTAAGTCATATACATAATGGTGAGTTAGGTGTACTTGTTGGCTGGAATTGTGTGTATCTATGCTCAAAAAAAAAAAAAAAAAATCACGATTTAGATATTGTATTTGTCTGGAATCATGTGTACCTACAGACTCTGTAGTCAGCCAACCACACTGTATGAAGTAGGTGTTTTTGTTGTCTGGAATTGTGTGTAAGTTAGTAGTTCGGAATCACGTTTCAGCCATAGGTAGGTGATATTTAACATGATCATATTTTACAACACAAATAAAAAATGATAACAGGTTTGAAAACTTTGAGACACCATCACTTCTGTTACAGTATTAAGGAGCATTTCTAACTACACATGGTATAGCTTCTGTTGCTTTGTAGTAATACTCATCGGTTGTACATTTTCTTCTCTAGTGACGCCAGCAGCTTCCAGACCCTGTCTCAACATGGCGGCAATAACACCTACCTCCGCCCCGACACCCCCAATAACGCCAGCGTGGCAAGTCTTCCAAACATGCGCCGCGGTCTTTCCCCAGTGAACGAGGTCAAGCCACCAGATGTCTATAGTGTGCTGTCAGAGATTGCGTTGGAGAGAAACCGTATTACACTTGGAGAAATAGTAATGGAGGGTAGGACCATGTGATTTGTTACAAAAAGTGCTGGATTTTGAGACTCATGAATATTTTTAGATTGTTTGATTTTTTATTTGTGTTTTAAGAAATGATTTTCTTTTCCTCCTATAAATAAGTGACAGTGTCTTTTACCGAATGATACAATTTCATGTAATCTTTTGCAGGAACATTTGGTAAAATATACAATGGCTACTTGCTAGGAGAAGATGAGACAGAGAAAACTTTGGAACAAAAAGTTTATATAAAAACAGTGACAGGTAGGTCGAATATAAATAATATAAATTGTAATAATGTATGAAAACTGGAAGTGCTGGCATGAAAAAAAAAATAAATAAGGGGAATTTGTTTTGTCAAGTCTATAACCTTGAATAGATAGTATTATATGAGAAATCATTTTGTAGTTCTTGATTGCCTTGCATATCATATTCTGAATAGATGGCATTTTGGTCTCTCCTCACAATCCTTTCTTCTTGAATCATTTATCATAACGCTCTGCCCTTCCAGTTCAGGCCCTCTGTACAACACTCAAACTATCGAGACCTTCAGGCTAACAGTTCTTAATCACTGATACCTAATTTCAGACCAAGCTCGGCAGGACCAGATCCAGACCATGTTAAAAGAGAGCTGCCTGTTGAAGGGACTGTGTCACCAGAATATTAACCCCATCCTGGGGGCGTGTCTGGACCCCTCCTGCCAGCCTCTACTGGTGTTTGCACAGCTGGATGAGGGAAACATGAAGAAGTTCTTACACAGGTGTAAGGTAGGTGTGTGCATGTGTGTGTGTGTGTGTGTGTGTGTGTGTGTGTGTGTGTGTGTGTGTGTGTGTGTGTGTGTGTGCGCGCGCGTGCACATGCAGGTGTTGTTTATGTGTATGTGCCTTAATATTTATACGTGTGTTTGTGTGTGCAAAATGTGAACTCTCACATTTTGACAAAAGGCTGTTCTCTCTCTCTCATTCTCTCTCTCTCTCTCTCTCTCTCTCTCACACACACACACACACATTAACATGTTTATACAAAAACTATGTAATTTTTAAAGCTAAAAACCCAGTCAATCAACTCCCGTAGAAGAACTTCTCTTGATATACCTATTTCTGCATTCTATAGCATATATCCATAATAATGCTATTTCCATTCCTATCTCAGGCCCTGAGCACCCAGCAGCTGGTCTACATTGCCATACAGATCATACGTGGAGTCCAGTATTTACACAGGAAGAGAATCATTCACAAAGACATAGCAGCCAGGAACTGTATGTGAGTACACTCTTTGTGGTCTTCAAGGGGACTCCATTTCACAAAGTGATTTTAGTGGAAAAAAAGTTCTTCACAAAGACTTTCAGTAATTTGTCTAAGTTCTGTTTCACAAAGATTGCTAACATAATCCCCTTCTTTATTTTGTCATGTGAGCTTTTCTTCCAACTGTGATTCTCAGTTTCACTGAGGACAGTAGCCCATTGATGTTTGTTAACCAGAGTGAAGGTTTCGTACTTGACCTTTTGCTTGGTTATAGAGAACAATGATCTTAAAAAATTTTAATTTGGTATTATTAGTAATAAATGTCCATTTTTTTTTCCAAGAATCGACCATAATCTTGGTATCAGGCTCACGGACATGGCGTTGAGTCGAGACATTTTCCCCAATGACTACCACTGCCTAGGAGACAATGAGAACCGACCAATCAAATGGCTGGCTATTGAAGCTCTCGTTGATCGAAAGTTTTCGCAAGCCAGTGATGTGGTAAGTTGTCATCTAAAAGTATAGATATTAAATTAATAATTTGAACAGACTGAATAAAATGTACTCAGAACGTGTGTTGGAAAAATTCACTTTGTGTATTGATGAAAGACTTTGGAAGTTCTTCATTTTTTACCACCCGGCATGCTTCTGATTGCCTTTTCAATGATGACACTATTGTTACAATCAAAATTTATAACAAGAAAGTTAAAAGGAAAATTATTCTCAGGATCTTTCTCAACTTAAGAATTTGAATATTAAGTTCTGTTTGCTTGTTAGTCTAGTTTAAGTTTTTTTAGATTTCCTATTTTTCTTATCAAATGATTATTTCCTCAACTTTTAGAGTCAAATAAGAGGCTTTTGGGTTCTTGTAACATGCTTATATAAATCAATATAAATGCTGTCATTCTGATTTATGTAAGTAAATTTCATTTGAGAAGTTTGCTAAAACATCTTATTAATGTTCTTCTTGTAGTGGTCATTTGGGGTAACACTCTGGGAACTGATGACCCTTGGTCAGACGCCGTACGCTGACGTGGACCCGTTTGAGATGGCGGCCTATCTCAGGGAGGGGTACAGGATATCGCAGCCAGTCAACTGTCCTGATGAGCTGTACGTTGTAGAACATGCATGCACAATGAGATTAACATTTCCTGGTTGATATATTGTAGAGGAAGAATTCATTTCAGATTTGTTTTTTAGTAATACACCTGTGTTGTCTTAAGAATCTTCAAATGAACATCAATCTAATTGGATAATGCAGTGTAAAGCATGAAATATTGCATGTTTTATTTTTTTTTATGAAACTATAGTCCAATTTTACATTAAATGGTTTGTTCAAACCATTGCTAAAAATCAGTTCATTTTCTGTGTCAGTATTTTAACCCAAGTACTGTACTCAAGGTTGAACACAATATGCAAATTTTGTTTTATGATAATTATTATTGTTAATTTATAAAAAGATGAATGACTTTCAACATGTCTTTCTCCAGGTTTGCAGTAATGGCGTGTTGCTGGGCACTGTCTGCTGACGAGAGACCCAAGTTTGCTCAACTCCTGGTGTGTTTGCAGGACTTCTATGCAGCACTGGGGAGGTTCATTTGAAATATGTGGAAAGAAAAAGAAAGAAAGGAAGCAGGTTGTAGCATTTGAAAGTCTCCAGCCATTTCCACCTTGACAGCATTTATGAAGTCTAGAAGAGAGGAAAAGTGAAGTCCATCCAGTTCAACCGGAGTTATTAATCTGAAATCTTTGATGAAAAAAGGAAGAAAAGAAAGAGAAGTAGATTGCGGTTACTGTAGACTTTAAAGCAGGATTTTGGAAGATGCTACACACAGCAGCATTTATTAGAATTGCCACGCGAAGGATATCGGAGACAGTCACCGGTTTCAGAGAGCTGTCATTTTAACTGACAGTTTCTAATGGAAGTGTATTGAAAGTGGGATAAAACCACATCCTGCAGTCAGGGTTGTAGGTCAGCATTACAGAGAAAATATCAAGAAAAATTTATATCATTCATTGGTGGGGTGGGGGGGAGATTTTGACAGCTATTAATTTAAAAGGTTTTATTCAGGGTCCATTTGAGACAGTAATGATATTTATTTAACTAGTAGTTAAGGATTAACTTTTCTCCATCCAGTAACCAACAAGGATACCCTGGCTGTTGCTGAATGCTGAGGATGGGGTGTAATTATGGCAGACAAGACAATGCGTTTGTATTAATACAACAGAAGCTTCAAAGATGCAATGCACAATATCATTCAAAAATACAACCATTCATCAGTGTGAGGTCAGGGGCAGAACTGAAGATGTGAATAGATTTGATAGCTTTGTTAAACAGTTATACTGGCAGTTAGCATGGAAAACGGGAGATGACAATCAAAGTTTCATGAGACAGCGATGTTTTTTTTTTTTTT